TCCTGTTGGTATACCTAAATAAGGCCTTATCCAATTTATGTCTCCTAATAACTTTTGAAAGTCATTAAGTGATTTGAGTTGATCTACTCGTATTTGAATTTTTGGTGGACGGACCATGGTTGAGGATAATAGAACTCCTAAATAATTAATTGGAAAATTTAATTGTACTTTATCTATTGCTATCTCTAGATTATAATTTTTTAATAAGTTTGTAAGTGTGGCATAACATTCTAGCAATGTGTTTTTATCTTTGTGTGCTAATAATACATCATCCATATAGTGAAATATTTGTAGTTCAGGATTTTGATTTCTAAGTGGCTGGATTACTTTGTTAACATAAATTTGACACATAGTTGGGCTGTTAGCCATCCCTTGAGGGAGTACTTTCCATTCATATCTCTGATCAGGACCTTCATGATTCAGTGCAGGGATAGTAAATGCAAAACGTGGACTATCCTCAGGATGAATTGGAATTGAAAAAAAAACAATCTTTAATATCTATAACTAAAACATACCAGGTTTTTGGCAAAGCAGACAACTGAGGAATCCCTGATTGAGCAGGTCCCATAATAACCATCTCATTATTAATGGCTCTTAAATCTTGCAATAATCTCCATTTACCAGATTTCTTTTTGATGACAAAAATGGGAGTATTATGGGGAGATACAGAAGGTTGTATATGTCCTTCTGCTAATTGTTGTTTGACCAGGTCATGGGCTGCTTGTATCTTTTCTTTAGTCAGGGGCCACTGAGGAACCCATACTGGTCTTTCTGATTTCCAAGTAATTTTTATTGTCTCAGTGGCCCTTTCTGAAAATCCAATCCATGTCTGTCTCTCCCTTGATCTATTTGTATTGGTGCTGCTATACCTTGTTCTTGTTTTTCTAATCTTTTTCCTTTCCTAAAACCTTGTCTAGTCATAATAGTGGGTGCATTTTGGTTGATGTTATTTGTTAATGTCAAACCTAATTGATCTAGGACATCTCGTCCCCATAAATTTACGGGAAGATGATCCAATACATATGGCTGTATAGTTCCTTCACATCCTTCAGGATCCTTCCAATCTAATACCATTGCACTTCTATGGGGATTAGTTGCCACTCCTAGGCCTCGAAGCGTTTGAGTGGCTTGTTGTAATGGCCAATGTTTTGGCCATTCTTGACGAGAGATGATGCTAAGGTCTGCACCTGTATCCAGTAGCCCATTAAATTCATGTCCTTGAATATTTAGTTTTAGCATGGGGCGAGAATCTAAATTTAAAGAAAGCATAGCCCAATCTACACCTGTGGAGCCTAATCCCTTGGAACCTCTTTCTACAGTACGACTGGAAAATTTATCATGTAGGCTGGGTATTATTAGTAACTGTGCTATTCTATCTCCTGGTGAAATTACTGATATACCCTTTGGAGAACTGGCTATAATTTTTATTTCACCTTCATAATCGGGATCAATTACCCCAGGACTTATCATAAGTCCTTTTAGAGTAGAAGAGCTGCGTCCCAATAATAAGCCTACTGTTCCTTTGGGAAGAGGTCCTTTCACCCCTGTGGGAATGATTTGAACTCCCATCTCTGGAGTTAGTACTGCTCTGGCGGAGGCGCAGATGTCCAACCCTGCGCTCCCTCTGGTTTGTCTGATGAGGGATCTGATGGACAATGTGTCCTGGGCACTACCCTGATGGGGTTGCTGGGTTCCTCCAGTGCTCCGTATATTTGTGGTTTTGGGCCCCGGAGCATTGGGCCCCCCTGTCCGTTTTTTGGCAATGGAGCCCGATGCCTTTCTCCACGATATTGTGGATAAACACCTGGTCCTTGTTCGTTTTTTGATAATGGAGTACCCTCTATGGTGGTTTGAGAACGGCATTCATTAGCCCAATGTCTCCCTCTACGGCATCGTGGGCAAATACCTGGTATTCTACTCCTTTGATACCTAGTTTTGTTAAACCCTCCTCCAATGGGGCAATTCCTTTTAAAATGTCCTGTTTGTTCACAATTGTAGCATGTTCTTGGCCTGGCATCTAAAGCCTGTTTTACTGCAGCTGCCACAATTTGCCCTTGTTCATTAATGTCTCTGGCATCTAAAGCCTGTTTTACTGCAGCTGCCACGACTTGCTCTTGTTCATTAATGTCTCTACATAATTTAATATATGTGTTTAAATCTTCATGTTTCCATGGTCTAATGATATCTCTGCACCAACGATTTGCTTGCTCATAAGCCAGGTGTTTTAGTAATGGCATTGCTTGTTCTGTATTCCCAAAAACTCTGGTAGCTGTTTGAATAAGCCTATCTACAAATTCAGCATAAGGTTCATTAGCTCCTTGTATTACCTTAGATAATTGACCTTGTAAACCTCCATGTCCTTGTAAAGTCTTCCATGCCTTAATTGCATCTGCAGCAATTTGTGCGTATACGCCAGGATCATATGCAATTTGTTGCTGCTGATCCTCATAAGGTCCCTTTCCTAACAACATATCTAGATTTCTCTGAGGATAACCAGCTGCTGCATTTCGCCTAGCCGTCTCCTTGCAAAATTCCTCATTGGCAACCTTCCATAACAGGTATTGTCCTCCATTTAGCACAGCTTTACACATATTAGCCCAATCTGCTGGCGTCATGTTCAAGTTGTTAATGGATTCGACCAAGCTTACAGTGAAGGGTGCTTGAGGACCATAGGTTGTTACAGCCTCTTTTAGCTGCTTCACTGTTTTGAAATTTAAAACTTGGTAAAATCGCTGCCCTCCTGCCTCAAATACAGGGCATGTTAATATTTGAGACCTTGTCTCAGGATCCCAACTATCAACTGTGGGGGTTGGGGGCCTCCCAGCATATGGAGGTGGCGCTGTTGGTTGGACACTTTCGCCCTCTGGTGATAGAAAGGTGTTAGTAGCAGTCTCCTGTAGAGGTGGTGCTGTTGGTTGGACACTTACACCCTCTGGTGATAGAAAGGTGTTAGTAGCAGTCTCCTGTTGTACCTTTCCCCCTGATGGCTTTTTCTGTTTTACACTTTCTTTCTCTGTCTGACTAGCTTGAGAGGCCTTCTTTTTTACTTGAATCTTTTCCTCTGTCTGACTAACTTGAGAGACCTTCTCTTTTACTTGAATCATTATGTCTTCTCCTTCCTCTACCATTGTCTGAACTGAAGGCTTTGGACTAAGCAAACAAGATACGAATGTCCACAATGGCAATGTGCCAACTGGCAGAGTCCCTGGGCTTTTCTTTTCTATTCTTTTTAAATCTTCACCATGATGGTTCCATTGTGATATATTTAACAACTCCTCCTTAAAAAGCCATGGGCTACATTTTTGTATTGTATCAACGTATGCCCTGACTGCTCTTGATTTTACTGGGATGCCTCCTTCCTCTAACAATTTACTTAACACTCTTTCAGTTTGTTTTTTGCTAATTTCTGATCACGTATTTCTACTATAATACAACCCAACAAGATGACGCCAAACAAAACCGAGACAGAATGAAATAAAAAGGGAACAACAAAAAGTCATTATAGCCTTTCTATCCTCCTGACATGTGCATCCATCCTTTCTCCCTATCTGTTCCTCAGACGTAAATAGTTTTTCCTCAGATGTGAGCGGTTTTTCTTCCGTCTCACTCATCTCCAGGGACAGGCAACTTAAAACAAAAGTGAAGCAAAATAAAAGAGGAATCTTAAAATGGCTACCCATCCTCTCGCCCTGCCCTCAGGGGCGAGCAGTTCACTTACCCTCAGTCGCTCCCCGTACGAGCCACCAAATGCCGCAGTCTGGCTGGGCACAATCAGGAGCCACTTGTCAAAAGAAACTAACTTTATTTTTAGAACCACACACGACAAACAAAATAGTCTCTCAGGAAAAACCCTCAGAGCCTCAACTGCCACCACCGGCTTTCCCCAAGCCTCTCTCTCCCACACAAGCTTCTCTCCACCTCCCACAATCCTCCTGCTCTTGAGGCCGATTGGCTGGGTCACGTGGGCGGAGCCAAAAAAGTCTCCCAATGAGCAGCTCCGTGGTCTGAAAGGGCAGGGAAACAGTCCAATGAGCATCACCGCAGAGGAGCCAATCAGCTAGATGTTGCTGGGGCTGCTGTGAGCCAATCGTCAGCCGGCAGCTGGAAGTTTGCTGGCAGCTGGAAGTTTGCTGGGGCCCCTTCGGCTGTGGCTCTCAACAATGTATCCATCCCCCCTTATCTGTGACATGACCCCTTGAGCCTTGGGTATATAATCTGAATCCACAGGATGTTCTTACCGTCCTATTGACAATAATTCCAAATAATACTTACTCAGTGGATCAGAATCAGTAACTCACAGAAATACAAAAGCAGCTCTCCATATTCCCTTCAAAGAAGAGTAACTACTCAGGGGACCTGGGAAGGAGCAAGGATCTGGATGTAACTCAAGGTCCCAGGCCACTCAATAAGGGACGCTTGGGTCTCCACTACGTGTGGGACTCCAATGACTGGATAGATGAGGAACCCACACACAAAACTTGTGGGAAACCTTGAGGTCTGGAAGGGAAGGAAAGCAATTAACTGAAAAATGAGCCCTAAGTTTAGAAGCTAAGAAAATGTATGCTAGGTCATGATTGGAGTGCAGGATGGACTGGGGAGCCATTCAAGGCCAGAGACAAGAACAGCAGGAGGAGGCAACACCCAAGTTTGGACAATCAAGGACTAGAAGTTGCTGGACTAGACCACCCAGGAGTCCGGGCCAGGCTTCTGACTGGGTTTTCAGAATTCCATCCTGTGGCTCAGGCTGACCTTACTGGGAGTTGACAGTCCCTAGAGAGAACTCGGGAGGAGGTTCCCAAAGCTCAGCAGGGAGTAGCAGGAGCTGCTCTGCACCTCAGGAGGTTGAAAGCAGCCATTTGTGCTCACGCTTCACTTGCAGATGCTCCCAGGATGCCTATGGGGACCTCGATGGCCTTTTCATGGCATTGGAGAACTTCCAGGGGACTCTGCCTATGGCTGACCACTCTCTCTTGTGACCCCCCCCCACTTCTGTCTTCCAGTATCACTTCAACCCCTCGCAGTCCATCCTAGTGATGGAAGGGGACGACATTGGGAATGTCAACCATGCCCTCCAGAAGGTGTCCTACATCAACTCCAGGCAGTTCCCGACGGCAGGCGTGCGGCGCCTCAGAGTGTCCTCCAAAGTCCAGTGAGTGGACGCCAGTCTGTCTAGGACCCTGACCATCCTGGAGGTAGCAGGGATGTTGCTTTGGGAACATTCCCTTGTGAAACAGGATTTGCAGTTCTTCAGTGTCTCTGCTCTCGCTGGGAGGCTGCTGCGATGGATCTGGTCTCCTTTGTGCTTTCTTAAGGAAAATACTGTTTCTCCAACTTGCACCCACCTCTCTGTGCTTCATTCTACATCTAGTCTGAGGCCTGGGGTGGGGGGTGGTGGCTTCCTATAAATTCTCAAAGGACGGGGTTTGAAGTGGTCTGATTTGAAGACACACTGCCTGCCCAGGTACATGGTAGGCATTTGGCAAAGACTTATTAAACTGAATTAAACGAATCAACCCAGCCTCCCAGAATTCCTGAATAAAGCCAAAGGAAGAAAGGGCATGGTTCTTGTCCCCAGGGATATGTGTTAAATTAACAAAATGAAACTTGTACTGCAATCTTTGGATAGCACACTTATGGCCATCAAATCACTTCCCAGCCAGGACAGCCACCTGGGAGGGTCACTAGGAAGAAGGCCCCAGAGAGACTCCCGGGAGGAGGAATGGAGTCTCCAGGCACCTAGAGTAGAACGACTCAGAGATGAACAGTGGGGAAAGATGGGACTACCGATGACTGCATTGCTGGGGCCTGGGAAGGAGCAGTTACACTCAGGAGGCAATGGAAGGGTCATTCCCACCCCTGGAGGCCTGGGGGTCGGGTGGGCACCTCCAAGTCAGTTCCACATTGGAGCAAAGAAAGGGCTCAGACCGGCCAGTGAGCAGCTCTGAGACCGGCTTCCAGAAACTGCCAGGGGAGAGGAACTTTTATGCCTCTGTGGCCCAAAGACCCAGCAAGAACAATTTTCAAAGAGGAAACATTTATTTGGCGCTCATTTATTTGGCAGCGGTCTCAGTCCATAGATGGCAGATTCCATTGCTCTTGACCCAAAGTGAGGCAGAACATCATGGTGGAAGGGTGCGGAGAGTAAAGCAGTTCAGGATATGGCAGAAATAAACAAAACATAAACCCCAAAGGCATGGCCCAGTGACCTACCTCCTCCAACCACATCCCACCTGCCTGTAGGTACCACCCTGTTAATTCCTGTCAGTGGATCCACCCAGATGGCCCTTCCCTTGGGGACCTTCCCAATGCATGCAAGATGATGGCTGCCTCCAGGGGTACCATTTGACCCAGGGCTCGCCATTTGAGCCAAGATTTTGGCCTTGATGACATTGGGGAATACCAACGACACAAGGGCCACCATGAGGTCTAATGAAAGAGACAGACCCACTAAACTTTCCTGATCTCAAATCATGAGGCAGGTTCTGGGCAGCCTTTTTATAGAGGCTTCTAGATTCTTAATACAAGGACGATTGTATATATCCTCATTATATAGATGAAGAGACTGAGGTTCACAGCCGTGGAACACCCTACTCAGTCTCCCAGCCTAAGAATGGCAGAGTCGGGCTGTGGACCCCCATCTGTCAAACTTTTCAGTCTGTACTCTGTGGTCATGCCATTGAGCCTCTCAGATACTTTTGTGGCAATGCATCAGGAGAAAGGAGCCACAGCAGTCTGTCCCCACCCCTGGGAGAGGCACACTTGTGTAATTTCCCAGAGAAATCTAACACACACACTGCAGCAGGAGACGTTAGCTCTGGGCTCTCATGCAATAAGTTGGCTGCAACCAACCGGTGAGACAACAATTTGCTTCTAAATACTAATGCAATTAATATAGCAGTTGCTATCTAGTTAATGTTGCCATTGATTACTTTGTTAAAGGATAATGAAAGCTTTAATAGTTCCTTGTTGATTGCATAGAAAACACCCACTCCTCCCAGGAGCCAACCATTGAAATCCCTACATTGCTGGAAGTTGGGACTATAATGTAGCTTTGAAGCTCTGTCGATCTCCTCCGAGACTCCAGAAGCTCACCCACAGCTCTGGAGCAGATGGTTGGACCGTTTACTTGTCAGTGCTGTGACTGAAACTGTCTTTCCAGGTGCTTTGGGGAAGATGTGTGCATCAGCATCCCTGATGTGGATGCTTATGTGATGGTCCTGCAGGCCATCGAGCCCCAGATCACCCTCCAGGGCACAGATCGCTTCTGGAGACCTGCCTCCCAGTTTGAAAGCTCCAGAGGAGTGATCCTCTTCCCCGACATCAAGATCGTGAGCACCTTCGCCAAGGCTGAGGCTCCTGGGGACATGAAAAGCACAGGTACAGGTACCTATGGGGTTGTGGGGAAGGTGCGCCTTCATTTCTTGTAGCCATATAAAATCCTGCTTCAGGACAACAGTGCCATTCACCATGGTGGGGCAATGCACAGGAGCAAAACAAACAGTGCTGGGAAAAACCCCAAATGAACTATTGGGGGTGGGAGGGATAGATGGACTGGAGAATAATGGCCCACCCACACGAGCACCATCGATGCTAAATAATAAGTCAAAAAAGTAGGATCACACAATGTCTCCACTTAGCAAGGTGTCAGCTATGTAAGAAGAAAAACAAGAAAGGCCAGGCTCCATGGCACACACCTGTAATCCCAGCAATTCAAGAGGCTGAGGCAGGAGGATCTCAAATTCGAGGCCAGCCTCAGCAACTTAGCAAGACCCTCAGCCATGTACAGAGACCCTGTTTCAAAATACAAACAAAAAGGGCTGGGGATGTCACTCTGTGGTAGAGAGTACCTTGGTTCAATCTCCAGTACCAATAAGAAAGAAAGAGAAACACCAAAAAAGAAAAGACTGCCTAAGAGTGAGTGATATTCTCCAAGATGCACGAGGAGAGTCAATTTGTTTTGCTTCCCTTCACTTTTCTGAAACTGCAAAAAAAAAAAAAAAAAAAAAAAAATTGGGCAAGCATTATTCTGATGAATCATCAGAAAAAAAGCTAAAGATGCACAAGGAACAAAATATCATTTTATTAATATAAATGCAGTAGAAGTTAGAAGTCACTCAGCAACGTGGCTCTAATCTCTCGGGAAGGTTCCATTCTTGGGAGGTTTGCTCAGGCAAAGAGTAAATTATCTGCCAGGGAGAAAGACTTTGTTGCACTGAGAGCTACTGTGTGTGCAGGCAGGGAACCGGGGGAAGGAAGGAGGTAGTGAAAGCAGGAGAGGGGAAGAGACTTCCTTCTGTTACTAGAGGGGCCCAGGGTTCTAGGGAAAGCATCTGTTTGAGATCTGTTCTTTCTGCTTCTTCCAAGAGAACACTTTCAACCCTCCTCTCTCCCTCCAAAAGCCACTACTAATGATGTGTTGGTGCCAGTAGGCCTGAGTCCCTGCAGAACTGCTTCTATAATAATCCTAATTATCCACTGCCTTCAACCACACCAGTCCCTAGCGAATGGGGTGCTCGAGAGGCAGCCCTTCTGAGCTCATAAAAATAGACAATGCTTCACCACCGGTCCGGGCAGGGTGGCTTCCCAGTTATGTGCCAAGGTGCATTAGGTCGTGTGAACGTCCCTCTTGCCACTGCCCTCATTTGTGGCTAAAATCAGCCAGCCAGTCAAAGGAAGGCCTGATGACCTCAGTGGCTACAGCCCAAGAGCATCTGGATTTGCTGCATCTGACACTGACACCCAGGCAGCACGGGGAAAGCAATTATCTGGGTACACATTTCACCTTCTATTTATGACAGGTGCATGCAGAGCACACGGCCAAGTGCCCGAGAGCTATTATTAGTACTTTAAAATTTTTACTCTTATTGTTGTTGGGAATAATCGTGATTATAGGTGTCTTAAACAAGAAGGCTGATGGCACTTGCTGTGGAGCCTCAGAAACTGGCCCTAGTGTCATCTTCTGCCCTCACTGACTCACTCTTTATGTGATCTCAGTGCCAAGGACAGGAACTTCCTCCCAACACACACACACTGTTAGTTCACACCTCTGCTCTCCTCTCTGCCTGGAAGGTCCTTCCCTTCCTCAGCCCCATTATTGCTGGTAAACATCTCTGCCTACCACCCCACCTCTGTCCTCCACTGCCCTGAGCCCCAGGCTGGACCAGTCTCCGGCTCGGGACGTTGCAGACTGCTGGACCTTCCCTTTAGCACACAACATTTCCAGCTCTTGGAGGTGATGATCTGTCTATTAAACTAGATCAGGAGCTCCCCAAGGGCTCAGCTTGGCCGATTCACCTGAACCCAGTGGTCCCTTCAACAAAATGGAGTCAAGGGAACTGCAGATGGATGATACCAGCAACAGAGAGCACAGGAAATGGCAGTGAGGACACTTGCCTACCTTCCTACCTAGCGCTGGGGCTGTCACTCACACCGGGAGGGAGGAGTCGGAAGGATCTAACCCCCCTCTGCAAAGAAGCAGAAAAACTATGAGAAGCCATTTGACACTATTGTTAATGTTCGACTTGTCTCCCGTGGATATCATTGGGCTTTCAGATCTTGCTAGTGTTTCTTGAAACCACTGTGGTTGACGAATAGTTAAAAAGTAAATCTATAGAAATTATTTATAATAACATACATATAATGAGAACAATTTGGGGCCTATTGAAAAAATTAATCAAAATAAAAATTCTTTAAAAATAATTATCCTTTGTGAATCCCTGTTTTTAAGTTTCTATTTTCATGAATGTTTCATAAGGCACAAAATATAGCTAGCCTGCTTTGGGGATGAAGAAATATACTTATCCAAATGGACTCGGTTCACAAATCTTTCAAGAGCAGTTGAAGACCAACTCAGAGGTTACAAGTTTCCCAACTGGGATCAGAAGAACATGGTGTCTAGCTCGGTTCTCCCCCTGAGTCTCTATAACCTGGGGCAGCTCCACCCTGTGACCTTGCACTTCCCCATTGGTGAGCTGAGGATAACACTAGTACCCCCTTCATGCCTATTAGGGTTGCATTGGCATAGTTCCTGGCACAGATCACCCTCCATAAATACCAGTCACTTTTATCTTACGATGAGATTTTAATTTAGAACTTCCAAGCAATGTCCAGCTTTCAAATACTCAGGTGTTCCTCTGAGAAACTTGGAGTCATAAAATCAGGCAGGGGCCACCAGACTGAAAAACTGATTAACCCACAATTATTAATGAATTATCAATTAATTATTGGTTATATTGTGCTGACTTAATTGATTATGAATTAATAATCCAGCTCCATTTGAACCATGCCTAGTAACAACTGCTCCATGGCAGCTTCTGCATCAGACATGGGGGATCCAGTCATGTACTTCTGCCCTTGAGAACCCCAGAGCCTGGTGGGGGAGACGGACACACACAATGGCCACATGATGAAGCTGCGGGGTCAGGGTGCCAGGCCACTTAGCTCTCCCCTAATTGAGGGCTGTGGCTAATGGAGGCCCTGGCCTGAGCAGGACACTATTTTCAATACTCCCAAGACCCTAGCTCTCTCCAGGAACAAGGAAACTGAGTGGCAGGGAGTTTATCTAACATTTTTACAGCTTCTGGGAGGTAGAGCTACTTTCCAGTTTCTGACTATCGTATTCACGCCGTTCATGCCACTAATTCATGCCACCCAGCCTCAGCGCCACCTGACAGGTGCGCGATGGGCCTGGTATTTGGGATTGCACAGCTTCGTCTCCTGCCCCAGCCCTGGTGCAAACAGAAGAGAGATAAGGAGCAAGGGCTGCCGTCCCAGCAGTCCTCATGCCTGTGTCCCCCACCTCCACCTTCCCACAGCTCCCAAATCGGCAGTCCTAGAAGAAATGCTTCACAACTTAGACTTCTGTGACATTCTGGTGCTTGGAGGGGACTTGGACCCTCGGCAGGAGTGCTTGGAGCTCAGCCACAGTGAACTGCACCAGCGACACCTGGATGCCACCAACTCCACTGCAGGCTACTCTATCTATGGTAAGGTCCTGCTCAGCACCCCCCAGCCCAGAGGTCCTCTCTGCACCACCTCAACTGGGGCCCAGGTGTGGCGGCACCTGTAGGCAGCCCTGGGGCCAGCTGGAGACCCTGGACATCAAGGCACAGTGTCTAGACTCTCCTTTGGAGAGCTACTCCAGCATCTTGGGGTATGGTCCCCCATCCCAACTCCTGGCAAAATCTGTAGAAACCAGCAGGAAACTTCTCCTATAATGTTTGATCCCAATGTTACGGCAATATTTGGGAGACTGAGGCCCAAACATTCCAGTAGAAACGAGTCTTTGTGGAAACGCTCGGTCAGTTGCATTGGTCCCTTGGAACTTCTGCTCTGCACATTGTCTACCCCTAACATCTGGACCTCTTAACCCTGATTGATTCACAAGACCCACAAGTTCCAGCAGCCCCTGCCTGTCTCCCCCGTGTCCTCTTCCTCCTCTTTCTTTTGTTTCCTGATGATGAGTGCGGTCTCTTGGCACAGGTGTGGGCTCCATGAGCCGCTACGAGCAGGTTCTGCGTCATATCCGCTACCGCAACTGGCACCCGACTTCTCTTGACACCCGGCGGTTCCGGATCAAGTGCTCAGAGCTCAATGGGCGCTACACTAGCAACGAGTTCAACTTGGAGGTGGGGACACTCTGCGTTGTCGGGGAAGTCCTGAGTCACCTGTTCAGTCCCTCACGCTTTCAGGAGAACTATTACAATTGGCCCACCTGCCACTCCTGGTGACCATCACCCCTTCTTGCTCTTCCCAGGTCAGTGTCCTCCACGAAGTCAGAGCCTCAGACAAGGAGCATGTCAACCACCTTATTGTGCAGCCTCCCTTCCTCCAGTCTGTCCATCACCCCGAGTCCCGCAGTAGCATCCAGCGCAGTTCAGGTAGGACACCTAAGAGGAGCGACCTCAGGATGTGGGGTGGTCACTGTGACTCAAGATTGTCCACTAAACAGTTAGGTGGCAGCAGCTGTAGGCACTCAGAACTGTGGAAAGGCATCCTGCCATGGAGAAGATATGGGTCCTTCCTGGGAGGACCCGGCTGCCCTAGGGATCCAGTCAAGTAAGAGAGACATAACGCACAATACATAGTAGCCGAGGTTGCTACAAAATTAAACCAGTACCTTCAGGTCTAGCTCAACAACATGCCCTGGATGAAGCTTTGCCTGAAGCCCTTACATGCACTCACACACAGATAGCTTACATACACACACACACACACACACACACACACACACACCATATTGTAAAGTCTCCTGTCCATTCCACTGTGGAGCACTTACCATAGTGTGTCATCTGGGGCCATTTGTGTGTCTCCCTACTAAACTTTAGAGTGCCCAGGTCTCAGTGAGGGCTCCCTTGTAATCTGAAGGGAGAAGCCTGAGGTAGAAGAGATCTGGCATTTATTAAACACCTACTCTGTGCCTCTGCAGAAACTCACATGGATTAATTCACTTATTCTTTGCAATGACCCATAGACAGGAACTCTTGACTCTGCTACATAGAGGATGAAAGTATAGCCCAGACAGGGTCAGGGGCTGACCCAGAGTTCTGGGGGGAAGTGCATTTTAACCCAAGCATGGATGCTTGGTTCATGCTCCATCGCAGAATGCCCTAGGCCTTTGCTCATCCTGCCACGTGGGTTCCTCCCTCCTTACAGTGGTCCCGAGCATCGCCACAGTGGTCATCATCATCTCCGTGTGCATGCTAGTGTTTGTGGTGGCCATGGGCGTGTACCGAGTGAGGATTGCCCACCAGCACTTCATGCAGGAGACCGAGGCTGCCAAGGAGGCCGAGATGGACTGGGACGACTCTGCACTGACCATCACGGTCAACCCCATGGAGGTGAGACTCACATCCGGCTGGGAACTCCGGGTCGGGGGCTTCTCCCTCCACCCAGCTCAATTATTCCTGTGCTCAGAGTCTGTCCCTTCATCCAGCTGTCTATCCACCAGGTCTTCCTGTCTCGGCTTCTTCCTCCCTCTCGACCTGATCAGACCGTATTTTGCCACCAATTATATTCTCTGATTAAAAACGTGGGAATTGTTCTCACACCACAAATGGAACCAGAAATCTGTTAAGGCAAGGAACCACATGGTGTCTATTCCTTGCCTCTCCCGTTGGTTCAGCGCTGACTAACACTTCGGGACTTGCTATTAAATCCTTGATTAACTGGCAGTGCGAGTTACCCGGCTTTGCTCCAGAGTGGCTGCAGAGTTCAGAATAAGCTAAAAAATACAACAGCGAACCTGCCATTTATTAAGCTCCCCATTGTGCCAGACCCTGTATGAGGGGCTTCCTATATAGCAACCCATAAAGTAGGGTCATCATCCTCAGCTACCAAGGTGGGAAACACATGAGAGAAGAGAAATAGAGTGCTCGGGTTCCCAGGACTGGTATTCAAACTGTCTTGTCATATTCTAAAGTTCATTTCGTTTCAGTCAGTGGACAGCCCCCAAATCGGTCCATGATTGTGCAAGACCCCTGCTCTGCACAAATACCAAGGAAAGCTACCTGCTCATGCCCTTGGCCCTTGGGTGCTGAGCTCAGGGAAGTAGGAGACAATCAGGAAGAGTCACAGGAAATAACAAAGTGGTCAATCCAGCCTGGTCCCCAGTTTTGCCCTCTGCCCAGTTTTGGTCTCATGCTCTGATTTCAGAGCCACCATGCCAATGTGGCTCTGTTTCTCTAAGCACCTGCTGGGGGAACAGTGCTGAGCCCACCTCTGTGGGGACTCCAGAACACCATCCTCCGAGAGCTGCCTCAGATGTGGAAAGCAGGAACAGTCTGAGGACCAGGGAGCAAGGGCGAACCTGGTGATGTTGGTGCCCAGTGAGGTTGAGTAGGAAGAGCCTTGGGGGCTGGAGTATGCGGGGAAGAACAGAGCTTGAGGAGGCTGCCCAAGGGAGGCCTTGAGGAACAGGTAGATTTGGGGGAACCAAAGTAGAAGAGAGACATTCTAGAGAGAGGCTGTAGCCAAGCAAGGAGACACCTCTTCTATGACCTGGTTCACCAGCCCAAAATGAATCCAGAAACAAGATTTTGCTGGAATCATCAAAAAGGTAGAGGGAGGGAGGGAAGGAGGGAGGGAGGGAAGGTGGGGGGAGACTGGGACTGGAAAGATGGGGTACAATTTGAAGACACAAGCCAAGGGGTGAGTGCAGGCATGGGGAGTTAAGACCTGGTCTTTGTTCTTTCCAAAGTAATGTTTCTGAGGCACACCTGAGTCTCGGCTTAGAAGGTCTTCTGCTCCCAGCAACATCATATTTCATCCTGGAAAGGGGTGCAAGATTAAATGCTGTACTCTCACGGAGAAGCCAAGGATTGCAAAGCTCCATTTAGATTGGCTTTGGAAATACCAGACAAGTCCTGGCCTGACAGGTTCAGTCCCCACTGGATGGTACTCCCATCCTCTGCACTAACGCTGACCTGCAGTTCATGTCTGCAATTGGCTGATCTTCAGGCCCTTGTGTCTCCCCTAATTTCCCTTCATCCAAAGACCTCCTTCCCAGAAAGCCTTTCTTCGGTTCCCAGGAGTTAGCTTGAAGAGAAGGGAGTCCCCAGGGACCCTTAATGTTTCCTTAACAGAGTAAGAAAGGTAAGCTCCCAAATTGCCTCTGTTGGGCCCCTGGTGAGTGTCTTCTTTCCCTCTGTGACATCCAGAAACACGAAGAACCAGGCCACGGGGAAGAGGAGAGCGAGGGAGAGGAGGAGGAGGAGGAAGCAGAGGAAGATGTGAGCTCCAGCAGCAGCGACTCTGACGACAGCGAAGAGGAGGAGGAGGAGGGGATGGGCAGAGGCAGGCACGAGCGGAGTGGCGCCAGGCAAGCCCAGCTAGAGTGGGATGACTCCACCCTCCCCTACTAGTGTCCCAGGCCTGCTCCCAGCCCGCGTGTCCCTTTTGTAAAGCCCGACCCAGTGTATGCCCGAGTCTATCACGCTCGCCGCCGATTTCGATGACAGGTCTGGGTGGCCTTCTCCGGCTTTCTAGAACCTGCCCCACGTGCCTGGGGCATTGATTGTGTCCAAGCAAAGGGCAGCTCCAAGAAGCCCAGTGTCACCACCAGTGCAGACTTCAGGGTGGACTTTGTCCTGTAGTCCCCACATCTCCTGCCCTGGGCTCACCTGGCTCCCTGCCAGCCAAGCCTCAGAGTTCTGAACAGCTCGCTCCTTTCTGCACGGGAGAAGGTCCACCCTGGTGTCACTCCCTCCCCCAGGCTCAGTGTCCCCAAGGCCGTTGGGGTCCAACTCACTGTGCGCACACCTGACTAAGTGTCTCTGTCCACCCACACCAGCAGGTCCTCCCTGCGGTGACTCTCCAAGGCTCCTCTACGCAGGGAGGGTGGCAGGACTTCACATAACTAAGGTCCTAGGGCTCAGCACTTGAAAGAAAGCCCCTTGTTGATGAAGAATTGAGTTTATAGGGAAAGGGACACCCCCTACACACTCACATACACACAGTCCCCAGCCTGGAGACCCTTTCCTTTTGCTTCTTTCTGAGGCCACTTGAGCTTATATGACAAGTCCAAAACCAAGAGCTGGTCTTTGACCACAAGCAGAGCCTGTCCCCAGTTGAAGGGGCCAGCCTGCCAGGGGACAGCTGAGACCTGTGTGGCTGCCCTGCCTGGCTGCCCATCACTCCAAACCACCATGCTCAGGGAGCATTCCACCTGGACCCCACCCCCCAATGTCACAGTAAGGGAGGAAGGATGGCTGATGGAGGGACAGATGGGGCTTCATGGCAGACAGTCTTGGGAGACAAGTGGGTGTGGCTGGACTCCCTGGCCCAAGCGCAGCCCCCAGGTTGGCAAGGCTCCCTCCACCGAGCCTCGTGGTCCTTTATCTCCTGTGTCACAGGTTTTCCTCTTGAGAGCGTACACCCCTCTCCGATAGATGAGAAAATGTGTGAACTGCAACTGTCCAAGGTGACAGTTTGGAAGTTTAACTGCTGGGGATTAGAAAGATATTTGCAATGATAGAGGCTGTTTCTTTCTTCTCATAAAAGAAGGTCTAGGGGACAAATCTATCCCAAAATCCTAATTTCTTTTTCTTTCTTCTTCTTCTTTTTTTTTTTAAATAAGAAAGTCTTTTCCATTGCCACTCTATTGTGGACACATCGTGAGGAAAATTGTTGCTATAGTAACCAGGGGGTGATCTTTGTGACCAAAAGAATACCAGTCAAGAACTAAGGCTATTACAAGACTTCCACGAGGCTCTGAGGACACGTTTGCCTCAAACATCTCGGGTACCTCTTTGTCCTCAGTGTGTTCTAGCTGTCCCCTCTTCTCACCCCTCCCTGAGCCCTTCCCGTGTTGGTTTGGCACAGGTGCAGAGTGGGTACCTTTAATTAATCCTCTTGTCATCCAAACACAGAGCTTAAGTAGGGGGGACCATAGACAATGGCCTCTTATCCAGCCTCCACCCAGCCAGGGTCCATGGAAAGTCTCTGCAACCCTTTGAATGGCGAAAACTACTTTATACAGCTTTTTCTCCTGAAGGGCTTTTTAAATTTTTGGCATCCCTCATCCTCCGTCACACCTCACAATAACCCTGTGAAATATTTGAGACACCTGTTGTTAGACACATTTTCATGATGAGGATACCAAGGCTCAGAGATGCAGTGTCTTGCTCAAAGCCATTCAGAGGTATAGAAAAGACTGGATGCCTCACCCTCCACTTCACTTCCAGGATTCTAATGACCCTCCCACCATGCACCTAACAGGCATCCTGAGCACCTACTATGTGCAGGCACTCTACCAGGAACTGTGGGGAAGGGATGAAGTGCCCTCCCCTCAGAGAACCTGACAGTTGAGGAAGGGACAAACAGGCCCTATGCAGGCACATGAAGAGGGAGGGGCGGGAGAAATCACAGGAAAAAGAGGGACATGGTTGCAAACCCAGCCAGGGCTCTTAATTTTCCCCTTCTTGGGAAAAACACTAGAAGAAGCTTGAGTTTTGATATTCATTGTGAAGAAATAGATGCATCTCCCATGTGAATTATGCCAATTAAACTCCCCTCTGTTGTTTTATCCCCCCCAAAATCATGCCTGCACATCTACAGGGGAAAATTCATAGGATTGGTTAGGCCCCACAATCCCATTATTTAAATAAAAAAGAAATTCTTCAAACAGGCATTTAGGAACTACTGAATTCTCCCAAAGGGACGGCAATGAAAGGAACACTTTATATGTATAAAGCCAATCCTTTCTGAATTAGCTTTTCATTGCAAATGTTTCAGTCTCGGGTTTCTGAGAGCACTTTTCTTCCTGCTCTGTCTTTGCAGTTTGGTTGGGTGGGAAGGTGTTCCTCAAGGCCTCTGGCTGTCTCTTGCAGCCACATTACTTATTCATGGTTGGATGAGGCTTCATGGCAGACAGGTAAGCTGCTCCAATAGGGAGCACCGAGCAATCTCTATATGTATTCAGGGAGTTGGCACAGAGCATATGAAAGTGGCACTTAGCTAGGACAGCAAAGATGTGGCATTTGAGGAGCCATTTGGTGACCAGATTCATTTACAGAGAATCAGTAGTGACAGCAAACCAAAGCCCTTTCCTTCAACTTTTGCTACAGAAGGTCATTCTACATGCTGGCTCCAAAAAATGAGGCACTGGAATGACGGTGCCCAGCCAACAGGCATCCCCCTGCTCCCCATACTTACTCAGGACCACAGGTGAGAACAAAGTGGGAGTGGCTATATAAAAGCCGTAGAAGCTTCAGGAGGCTTCCAGATGAATAGTGGGTAATATAATTTGCCCTCCCCTACCAGATTTTCTGACCATAAGTGAAAAGTGTCATTAATCAGCCTGGCACTTTCCAGCCCCCATCACTAGCATTTTTGGAATCAAAACTCTCAGATGACCTAGATACACTGTGACCTCTCAATCAGACAGCTACAGCCCAGGAAAGTGCAGACTCATCCCCACAAGGACTCACTGGTTTGACCACTTTCCAGCCCAATGTTGCCCTCCAAGTAGACAACACCGTCTGGGGAACACAGCTTGAAAATAGATAGTCTGAGACTTCTCAGGTGACTCAGGTGGCAGGAAAGAGGAGAAAGTGGAGGCAGAGACTGGAAAAGGCCAATAGAGAATGAGTTACCCCAGCGGAGTAAAGCAATCACCTAGGTAGTGAATTGTCTTAAAGAACACGAAGCCTATATTCTAACAGATGTAATCAAATTCTGTATGGCTGACCAAAGCCCAAATTCATCTAGTTGCCCTAAATGTGATTTCTGTGGGATCTCTTTTCATTACCACTGTGTTTTTTTTTTTTTAATTTAGTCATTCATTTTGTCATGTAGCATTTAGACCAAATACCTCTGCATTTAACAAGGGCTGTCCCTTGTGGACATGGATACCCCAGGAGTAAGGTCCTGCTGGGAACAACATCCCCCATTCCTATATGCCAGGGATCAGCAAACTTCACCTGGAAAGATCCACATAGTCAAGGCTTTTAGTTTTATAGGACATATGGTTTCTATGGAGAGTACTCAACTCTGCCTTGTAGCTTCAAAGCAGCCATAGACCATGTGTAAACAAATGAGTGTTCCAATAAAACTTTATTTATAGACATCAAAAGAGTAGACAATTTGAATGTACATAAATTTTACATGACTTGATTTTTTTTCTTTTACTCTTTTTTTTTCATTTTTTTTATTGGTTGTTCAAAACATTACAAAGCTCATGATATATCATCTTTCATACATTTGACTCAATTGGGTTATGAACTCCCATTTTTACCCCAAATACAAATTGCAGAATCACATCGATTACACACTCACATTTTTACATAATGGTATATTAGTGACTGATGTATTCTGCTACCTTTCTTTTACTCTTTTGATTATGATGTTCATGCACTCAAAAATACAGAAATCTTTCTTAGCCCACAAGCCATACAAAACTAACTGCCAATCAGATCTGGTCCCGAGGCTGTAGTTTGTTGACTCCTATGGACATGCATGGAAAGCAGGCTTCCATTTCCCAGGCAAAAGTAAAATCCACGACCTTACCCCCAGCTCCACTCCCCATTGGCCTTTGCTCCAAAATCAGGAAAACTTTGTTGTCCTTCATTTTAAGATGTTTTAGAAATTCATGTTCTGAAAGTAAACAAAAACAAAACACACTTGCTATTTTTGTACTGACAAACCCATACACTTATTCCTAAGACTTGGAGGCCTTGGATCCAGGAACAGACTCATCACTGAGCTCTGACTCCAGAGACCAGTGTTGATTCCCCCAGGGCTCAGCACCTTCCCGGGGCGGCTCAGCCTTACTGATTTCTAAGCAGGACTGTTCATTATCTCAGACTGATTGTCACTTCATCCCCACTCATGCCTTTGCTCTAAAAATGATCCTGAAGACATGTGACTGCTTGAATCAATAGCAACATAATCAGCAGAAAGCCCTACCCAGCACACTTCAAAATTAGCAATCTTCTTGGTTCTATGACTTGATATTAGCAAGAAGAAGAAAATGAACATTTTTTCCTTAATCATCTCTTCACTTAAATTAAACAAATTGGTTTTACCAAAAAAAAAGTAAGAGGTAAATCTAATTCTTTTATATGCCAGTAAAAAAAGTAGATGATGTTCACATAAAAATCATTTTCCGGTCTCTGGGGGATCCCCAAAGCCTCCTGCGAAGTATCCTGGCAGCTATGATGGTACATGATCCTCTGTCTGCATCAGACATTTATCGAGGCTGACAAGCCAAAGCCCTTGGCACAATTTAATTTTCATGTAACCGCTTTCTGTGGTCCAGCCGTAGGCAAAGGAAATGAGCAATGAAAGTTTTTAAGTCGACTCCAGCACCCTCGTTTCCCTATCTTTATTTGCTTTACTTTATAAATTTATTCTCTATCTGCTCTATAGATCTTGCTTTCGTTTTTCCTTTTGGCTCCAACTGGAAAAAGAGAGTTGGCTTGACAAGCACTATGGATTAGGAGGTGAGCTTCACTCTGTCCCAGGGAGACAAAAAGAGACAGAAGTTACCTCCGCCAGCACCCCAGAAAGGAATCTGACACTTCCTGTGTGCAGTCAGCAGACAGATGGGAGCCTGCCTTGGCAGCCACATTCTATATTGGAAAATGTGGGTACCAGGCCCTGTGCCAGGGATGGGCAAGGAGGCGAATGAGACAGGACCCTTGCCCATGAGGGTCTCCTGGTCTCATGAGCTGTTGGGATGTTTCCCTGGACAAGTTTGAGAAGCTGTGGGTGAGCAGTCAGGACTGTCAGGGGCAGAAGGGTGGGGTCAGGGTGGTGGGATGACTTGCTTTGGCAGTTATCCACCCTAAGTCAGATGGTAGGTATGATTCTGTCAACACCTTTCTGAGGCAGACTGAGGAGATGTCTAGGGGAGTGGGCACGGTTCCCTTAAACGTTCCTTAATTGTTTCTGAGCCTGACTCTGTTCACTTAGAGAAGAAGGCCAGTCACAGTGCCTGCTGGGCAGAAATAACATGGCTGAGAGCTGAGATTCCATGAAACTAAACCACAGGGACCCCTTAGGTAAGAATAGCAGCCAGTTGGGAAGGCTGATCCTGGTAAACGGGCTATCATTAGTCAAGGCCCAAAGGCTTGATCTGCCTGGCGTGAAGGCCCCCTGAGGCCCAAATCCAGAGCTGAGAAGCAAAGGAGGCTCCACTCAGGAGGACCTGGGATGGCACGCGGCATGCTATGGAGCCGTGGTTCTTAATATTTGGCACCAGCAGCAGCATCACCTGGAAACCAGTGAGAAATGCCAATTTCCAAACCCCACCCCAGGCCTACAGAATCTCTGGAGGTGAGCTCAGCAATCTACCCATGAAAGACCTCTTTGATTCTGCTGCATGCAAAACCTGGAGAACCACTGGTGGAGAGGTTGAAGAGAATGGCTTATGCTGGCTTTATCAGGAGCTGCTTTTATGATTTATCAAGGTAAAACAGTCAATTGCTAGTGCAGTGACAGGCGAGGGCTAACCACACTCAGGGCCGCTGGACTGCAGTGGTTTCTGGACACACTGGTCCTAGTTCCATTTACCCTCCTCCCCTGAGGCGCAAGACAATTCCTGCCCTGTGCCCCTGCTATCCTAGAGAGAGACACAGCCCAGGAGAGACTATTGTGAAACCATCCACCCATGAAAGACCAAGTTCCTGTCCAATGAGCAGCTCCTCCAGGGCCATATTTTATAAGGAAAGAGTGAACCTGCAGCAATGAGTTTAGAAGGCTGGGAGGCCACTTGGTTCATAGCCTGTATGCTGGTGGAGCACCCAGGGCCTGGCAGAGGGTGAACGGGTCTTCAAGGACAGGTTACTACAGAATTGTCCCTCCATCATGGCCTGGGGTGCGCAGCATCCCAATTCAAACATTAAATTGGATGGGGAATGGATAGCTCTTCTTGGAAGGGCAGTAACTCACTGTACTAAAAGTAAAAACCAAAACCCAAAAACAAACCTGCAGTCTTATTAATTCTGTCTAGACTCTGCAATTCCTAAGGCCTGGTGAGGCACCAGGTTCCACCAAGACCATTCTGAGGAGTAGAGAAGGGAGAGTGCCTCTGGACCACTAAAGTGACACCTCCCTAGAGGCAGGGCCCCACCCCATGACAACTTCCAGTTGAATGAATGGAACCATAGCCCTCCCTTCCCAGGTACCTGATAGGAACCCCGGAAAACAAGATCACACAAAGCTAGTATGGATTCCCAACTCTTACCACCTCTGCGTGCCACCTCCCTAAGGCAAGAGGACTACCCAGTCTATCGCAGCACCCTGGGTGCCAAGCACCGTGCCTGGCTCATGGTAGGGGCTCCACAAATGTTGGGTTGAATGGCATCCCAGAGATCATGTGACCTCAAAGATTGGGCTTGGTTTGAAAAATTAAGATGCCCCAGTGGAGAAAGACCCTTCCATCCTGTCTCTTAATTTGTAAGTCAAGGTCCTTTATAAAATCAGATAAAAGCAGAAAGGAAGTTCAGATGACAATGCTCTTGCACTCCAAATGGAAGAGCAGGAGTGAGCTTGTTTGCTAAATGACCCTTCCTGGCTATAACCAGTGTACGAAGCCCTGTGCGAAGAGCAGGGGTAGATGGCCCTACCTGCTCCATCCTGTGGGTCAAGGGAAGCATCCTCACCGAGGAGAGAAAGCTCTGATTGGTTAATGACCCCCGCCCTATGCCTCTCTCCACTCCCTTTTATCAGATATACTGCAGAGGAAATTCATCAACATGAAGCTCAATTCCCAATAGTCTAATGAAAAGAGGGCAACAGATGAGAGAAGAGCCAGAACACAGACGGTGTGTATTAATCACAGGCAACAGACACGCGTTGGCTTTAATGTCTGTTTGCTTTTATCTTGAAATGAAAATGCATCTCAGTTACCTGGACCCTTCCCACTGAGCATCTCAGAAAAGAAACGGCACACACGAGCGCATACACGCACACACACACACACAGAATTCTTTTCCCCAGCAGAAAGAATTGTCAGAGAAATAAGCCCAGAGATTTTGTCTATTTGCACTACCCATGGTCTCAGCTACAGACCCCAGAACCTCTGTGGGAAAGAAAGGGACATAAAGGGTCAAGGAAGTAGCATCTGCCCCCTGAAAGGATTCCTTGGCGTCACACAGATGAGGGGTTCACCTGTGCCTGTGGGTCACAGATAGGAGTATAACGTGTGCATCAATCTTTAGAGGCAAAAGTTCAGATGTGGCACCACGGATCCCCAGCTCCCTCATATGGCTACACAGGAGCTGACGGATTCTGGATTGGGAAGAGTTCTCCTGTTCCCAGATACCTGTCAGGTAGTGGAAATAAGGAACAAGTTTTGCAGGAGGTGAGGGTAGATTTGGGAAGATCATTCCAAAAGTAAGAAAAGGGATATGGAGAGAGGAGATAACTCAGAGTTGGGGAGTAACCCAAAGGTGGATTGGAGAGGACCAATCCATCACCCAGGAAGCCAGAGAATTGCTCTGTACCTGAAGTTAAATTCAAGTTTCAAAGACATTGCGGCTAAGCCTGGTCATATGAGGCACAATTGATGTCAGAGCTGTTGGAGGGTGATTTCGGTTCTGAATTGAACTACCCCTGCTGGGTCGATCCACCTGGTTGCTTCAAGCTTGAGCTCAGTGGTTTCCAGAAACAGGATTGTGGATGCCCTGAGCTGGACAGGCTTGGCAGGAGATTGAAGATACCAGTCAGTGAGTTTAGAAAAGAAACTGTATGTGGAAGATGGTCGTTCTCAAGGGAATCTATAGATATCAGAGTTGGGTTTGTTATGTTATAAGCATGGACATTGTAATTTTGGTAAGGAGAAGAGTCAGAATTACTTGGTGGGGCATTAGTTGAGGAAATTAGAGTAACAAATATGAAATATGAGAGATAACCAGGCTAAGGAGAGTTGATAATATGTGTGTATATATATGTGCATAAACATGTATTCATGTCATATACACATCCACAATACCAAAGGAAGGTCTAAAATGAGCTCAATGGTACCAACACATTCCAAATTATGTTACGTGTCTTTTTAATTGCTGTTTACTCTCAGCCCTCAAAACACTGGCAATGGTGCCTGGCACATTGTAGGAGTTCAGTGAGCATTTGGAAATGAAAGGTCCAGCCTGTCACTACTTGGTGGAGACATAGAGGTATCCTTATACCCCAAACTGAATGAGCCACAGAGCAGCAGGCCAGCCACACCCCTCTTGGCCAAGGAGAAGCTTTTGTGAATTCGCAGGTCCCCTCTGGCTCTCTGGTAGTGAATCATAGTGGGTTTGTACACACCTTGGACCACATGGGAATAACACCATCATGTTATGTGTAGGAGGGGCTCTGGGACTCCCCTCCCACTGTGTCCGCCATTTCCTTCGGCCAGTCTGAATTGTCCAGGCTGGTCTCCTCTCAGCCCCTTCCTCCTCCCATCTCTGGAGATGCCTCCACCATTTAGAAGCGTTCCATTAGAAGCCTGTTCAATCCTAGCTGCTCAACCAAAGTGCACGAGGAAGGAAGGTCCGGCTGGAGCCCCAGGGATGTCCATACAGCCGGGGGCAGGAAGAGCAGTCACCTTCCTCCCACAGACACCTTCAGTCACTGTTCCTGGCCAGGCAGTTCCTGCCAGCCTGGCTGGAGTGTCCCCGAGGTTGACTTCACTCCAGGGAAGGGCCAGCGTGTGCCTGATGCGCGTCAGACCCTGGATTCCCTGGCCGCCTCAGAGAATGGATCTTTTTAGTTTAGAAAATGTGTTTGTTTGCTAAATATATTATCTTGTGTGTGTATGAGTGTGGTTCAAAGGAAACCTTGGAGTACGTCACCAGGATTGTATGAACTTAGAGAAAGTTGAATTTAATTTCAGAAGAGCTCACTGTCCCCTCTGTTGACAAGGGTGCCCAGCCAAGGGGGTCAGAGAAACTGCCCTTCCCATCCCCACCCCTCCCTGGCTAGTGGAGCTGCTGGACTCAATTCAAACCCATGCAGAGTGAGAGGTGCCGAGGGCCCCGTGTGTACATAACGAGGAAGCAAATGGGAGCCATCGCAGGGATCTCTCGGGCTTCTTCCCATGACTGTGATCTTACCCATGTTTGAGTCACAAACTTTAAATTTCTAACAGTTACAATTCTTGCAGTTTCTGAGTAATTTGTTAAATGCCTATTCAACACAGACAGATATTTATTTTCAGCCTTGGCTTGTAAATGCCTACAAACTGATTCATGTTGGTGGTCATCACGACACTTCTGTGAATTGGTGAATAAATATGATTTTAGAATTTCACAGTAAAGGTGACTTCTGAGAGTTTTTATTGTTCAGACTGTTTGATGAGGTGAGACACCAAGAACTGGTTCATCTGGGTTGATGTTCTCTTGGGTTCTATGTTAAATCCGTGCTTGGGCAAGAGAGACAGGTAGCATGTGACAGTGGTGACAAGGTAAATCGGCTCTCATCAGGCCGTGGTTGAAGTACTCTGCTACACCCAGAGCTGGACCAATGGAGACCAGTACAAAGACAACTCTAATAACATGATGCATTTATTGAGCACCTACATGATACCAGAGTTCTGGGTGTGATCTTAATCTGCACAGTAGGTCACTCTTACCACTGGCCATGAAAAACATTGAACCTGGAGGAGTCAGGCGCACTGGCCCAGACAAATGGATTGACCACACCACTACTTCCTCCTGCTCCTCCATGCTGACCTGTGCTTGCACCTAAATGCCACTCCGAGCCACCTTGACCCTGAAGCCCAAAGAAGTGGGCTCCTCTCACCATCCAGAGCCAGGGGAGAGCCAGAGTGCTTCTGGAGGATTCTGCATATTGCAGTTCCTGCAGCCTCTCTCCTGCTTCGTACTGAGCCAACTCGAGGGCTAAGCCCCAATTTCTTGGAAAATTTGGAATGGAACCACCATTTGACCCAGCTGCATGTCACAATAGGCATGTTTGCTTGGCAAGCTCCTGTTGGCACCCCTCCCCGGCCTGTGCCCTCTGCCTGCCCTCGTACCTTCCTCTCACTCATTTCTCTCCACCTTTCTCAGATGGATATTAAAAAACAAATTCTTTCCTTGTCACTTGGAAGAGCAGCTCCATCATCTTCTCCTCACTTCCTGGTCTTTGAAAACCCATGTCCCTCCTTCTATCCCAAATAGTGGGTCAGATCTTCTCCCTGAGATACAGGTCATTTTTGCACCACGAGGATTTTTTTCTGCTCCATGTTAAGACAATCTGTTTAGCATGCTCAACTGGATTTTTCTTTTACATCAGAGAGTCAAGAAGCCTTAGAAGCTTTGGTGTGTTCTGTGATTCTTCTGTGCTTCGCCTTGCTGTGCACCCATGTACATGTATACACACACACACACACACGCACCGAGCATCAATCCTTGGGCTTTCCCTCCCTCTGACAAAAGAGCTATATTATTTAACCTGAAAAAAACTCTGGTTTATGTAGTTTGAATACAGTGCTTCATATTAGGTTGACCTGATAGAGGTTTCATGGCAAAAACTTACAAACAATACCAAAAACAAACGTTGAAGCTATGGATAAAAGTTCTGGGCAGAAGTTTCACAGCAATCATACCTGCGTTCATGCTCCAAAGGAAAGCCTGGGATGTAGCAAGGGCTCAGAAAGCATTTATCAAGCTAAACTGAATTAAACCTCCAATACAAGGTCCTCGATGACCTGCCCCCCTCCCCATAAGCTTTTATCCAATTGCCCAGCATGAATCCGAGGGCCTGGTCTTCCCAAAGCACATGGTAAACATTCTCATCTCCATGCTTTTGCTCTTTGACCTTGAACGCCCCCTCCTGGCCGCCCTTAGACCAGGGAATGATGGGCCCACTGTGGAGATGCAGGACAACTTATCAGAGGGGCCATCTTGATTGCCCAGTGCAATGGGATCCTGCTGTCCTCTGCACCCCTGGAGAGTGTTCTGCCTTATTATTAAGTTCCCTAAGTGAAGAAGGTGGGAGAACAGGATACAGGACGTATTGTTCTAAGACAAACTCAAATACCTGCACAGGTAAGGCAGGCGGGGTAGTGAGCCCAGCTGCCTGGCTGGGGCTGAGGGTGAAAAGAAAATACATGTCAAGTCCAGAGGGGAAGCCTTTTCATCCCATGGCAGGGATGGTGGCCCCTTATTGCCAGATCTTCTGATTTCTAAGAAAAGTCAGAAACATGGATGTCCAGAATGGCAGCTATTATGAATACAAACAACAATAAGCATTGCCGAGAATGTGGGGGGAAAGGCACACTTCATACATTGCTGATGGGATTGCAAATTGGTGCAGCCAATATGGAAAAAAGTATGGAGATTTCTTGGAAAATCGGGAATGGAACCACCATTTGATCCATCTATCCCTCTCCTCGGTCTATACCCAAAGGACTTAAAAACAGCCACTACAGGGACACAGCCACATCAATGTTTATAGCAGCACAATTCACAATAGCTAAACTGTGGAACCAACCTTGATGTCCTTCAGTAGATGAATGGATAAAGAAAGTGTGGCACATATACACAATGGAATATTAATCAGAAACATAGGTTTTCATGTGAAATCTACCAGATTTTAAATTCAGGCAACTGATCCACATTTTTAAAACAAATTCTGTGTTGTCCAAATAAAATGGATCGGCAGGCTGAATTCAATACCCAGACAACTGGTTCTAGAGTACATTCATGTGGACCAGGTGAGTCTGACTAATCAGAAAAGCAAAATGACCCCAGCTCTTCCATTGGGGTTACTAGGTCTTGGGTGTGATGGGTTCTCTCACATGCCACTGGAGAGTGGCAGAAGGAACAAGATGAATAAAGCAAAGATTAGCCATGTGAGCATCTGGGGGTAACCAAGGTGGAGAGGTCTCTGGGCAGCAATATCTGGCAAATGGTTAACCACCACCTTTTAGGGAAGGGGCAGGTCTAATTTGTAACAATTGCTGACTCCTGTGGCTGATTTTAAGCTACCAACGTGAAGTCACTGAACTCAGAGTTGGGAAGGGACGCTAACAATTGGCTTTGTGAGCCAGCTCTGGCATACACCAGACCACACACCTGTGGCACACATCCGTGACCACCGCTCACAGGTCAGGCATCAAGAAAAAGCCAGCGCACCTTTAACCATGAATAGAGGAGACAGGAGACTGCCACCTTCCTAAGGACTCGGCCTAGCGCAGGAAGTCTTGTGACCCACATCAGAACTTCCTTCCCACACTAGGCGAAGAAGGCTGCTGCTTCCATTTGTGGCTATAACTCTTGCACACAGACTTGAGTGGGGACTGCCGGCCACATGAAGCCAGGCTTGGTCCCTGAAGACCCAGGGTGTGAGTGGAGGAGCCAGAATGGAGAGGCAGAGCACAGTCTGGTTGTGCTCAGGAAGGCAGAAGGAGCCCTGGCGGAAGAAGGGACAGGAGGCAGCCAGGCTTCCTCTCTCCATCACCAACCACACAGCCACCTCCTGGTTCCTTGGGATGGAGACATGAGACACAGCCAGGAGACGTGGAGCAGGAGGAGGAGATGGGAGGTACTGCTCCAAGGGAAGGGGAATTCCCAGTACCAGGTCCCAGGCTAAGGGACAGAGGTTCTCAGAAGAGGCTGGATTTTCAGTGTTTCCATTTGCTCTCCTTTTGGAATCTTTGGTGAACTTTAAAAATCTTCTCCAGAATCAGCACAGCCTTATGTAAGGCCAGGCTTGACAGGAGGGCAGTTGAGTGGACCATCCGTCCTGTAGAGAAGCCACCTGCTTTCATGAGCAGTTCCTTGGTGGCAAGCTGGACACACATCTAAGCCTTTGTTTTGAATCTTGTAACCCAATATTGAGAAGAGCTGACATGTGGCTGGGCCTCACCACTGCAAGCTTAGGACTTACTGACATGACATATATATATATATATATCATATGTAATATATACAATATATGCATAATGAGTACATAGAACCATATTTATAATTCTATACTTACATGTTATATATGTATTTATTAGGGCTTGCTAAAGGGATTTATATGTATCATTACCTATTAAATATATTAATTATATTTTATATAACATTCTAAAAGTATATTTTATATTAAATATAATGTTATAATAAATTTTAATGTGTTTTATTATATAATTATATATTTATATCATTATCTATAATATGTATTAATAACCTTAGCAAAACCTAATAGGTACAAATACATAATTATGTATTACATATTATGTAATTATCACTTAAATATTATACAATTATAAAAATATATATTAGTTATAATTATATATTATGTAATTATGATTATATATTGTGTAATTATAGAACTACAACTGTTACCTAATTATAGTTATCCATTATATATTATTGATCACATAATTACACATTGAATACTATTAATATGCTAATATTAACATATTATTACTATGCATAGTTTATTAGGCATTGATTCAGTACCTCTCATGTTGTCCCCTTCTTTTATCTTTGTGATTCTGTCTGACGAGCTTCAGGACTGGGAGGGATCATGGTTGCTGGCCCCTCTCAGTGTGCCTCTAGAAAGGAAAGGGCTCTTCTGCAACACCAGTTCAAAGTCCTGGATACGCATGATCTTGGCCAGCCTTGTGGCACGCATGTCCCCCGTGGCGAGCCTTCCTTTCCCCCCACCAGGAGCACATATTTACAAAGGGGGAGGAGTGTTCCTCAGAGAAGACACCAGAGAGAAGCTTCATCAGAGGAGGGCATGGCGAGATATGAGATATAACGCCCCATGCCAGCAGCTTCAATTCAAGAAGCCTTGAGCCTGGTTTCTTCATTTATGCTGCATGGAGTGTATATTTCATGTTGTTCCCACTATTCTTTTTAAAGTTTCTCTGATAAAATTCTGTTCTTGAAAATAATGGGCTGAACAGGTATCTTTTACTCCAGGAATTTTCAGAACGATCACTGGGAACCATCTAGAGACTGGGGAAGAGTGTTTCTCAAACTAATCTGATTACAGAGCCTTTTACTTTGTTCAACATCTTTGGGACAAGGGTTCACTCCAACCTCCTCTTGGGACTATTGCCTTAAACCTTAGTGGGGGACTTGGGACCGAGATGCAGGGTTCTTCCCTTTGTCAGTACCTCATCCAGGGGAACCACCTGAACCGGCAATTAAGTCATCTATCTATCATGACCAGGATGAAGACAAGAGCCATTTCCTTCAGGCCTTTCTGGTCTGAGAGCCCCCTGATTTTGCCTCATACTGTCCATCTGACTGCTTGCACATAAAGTTCAGATCATTCAATCAGTCCATTCCAAAGCAAGGAGAATTATGGAACTAG